AGACAAGTCGCCGAGGAGCAGAGTGCTTGCTTACCAATCACTACAGTTGTCATTGAAGGCCCGTTCGGTAAGCTTCGCACTGAAGCGGATGTGTCTGCCACGCTTCCCGATCGTTTCGCTCATCTTTTTTCTAATAACTCAGAGCAACTTCTCAAAGAGCAGGGTAAATCGTTCTTCTCCAACTTAGCGTACCTGGCTCTCACACAATCGCAAGCGCAGAAGCTTTCGCAGGAACTTGATCTTGTTCAATGTGGTCAAACACCAGCTGCAAAAGCTGCTGGTCTGTGTGACGTTGGCGGGGAGTTGACGGAACCTCAGACAGGAAATTTTCTGCGTGAGTCATTTGAGCAGTCACTCGAGCGGCCCGTCGCAGAAGCGACTGGCGCGGTCTCTGTTGTCGGAGGAGACGACATGGCGCCATTGAGTCAGAGCGAGAGGGGTGCAACGCTCTCGCTCTAACTGGTCATGCGCTGCAGAGCCGATTGCAGCAAGATGAAGGCGCACTGTTACCACCACTGATCGGTCATCATAGGAGAATTTAACCATGCCTGTAGCGGAAAGTTGGAGTGAGCTGTCGAGGGTTGATCGAGAAATACTCATTTGAAAGCAGCGTGAGAACCTCTCGATTAAAGCACTTATAAAAAGCGTAAAGTTGGGAAAAAAGAAAAGGAATGCTTCTTTTTTTTTTTTGAGAAGGCAGGGCTCCTGTATCGAAGCTACACAGATGTGCAACGTCTCAAATATGAGCAGCTCTTCGTACCGCAGAGGTATCGTCGCCTAAAAGTGGCCGGTTACTGAGGTGGAGCATGATACTCTAAAAGCACAACTTTGACGTTCGCTACAAAAAGGGAAAGCTAAACGCTAATGCAAACGCATTGAGCCGTGCGTTGTAGCTAGTACTTTCTCCACCTTTCGGTCTTTCACTGGTGAGTTGGGGCAAAATTTTGTCATCACAGCTTTAGCTGAGCGCTCTTGTCCAGAGTGATCACAAGGGGCCATTTTATGTTGCATTCTATTTTATTACGTTGTTGTGCGTGTAAAAATTCTAGTTCTCATTTTATGAGTCTTGTGTCCCACATGCGCCTCTTGATGTACAGGGAACAAAATTCCGGTAGACACGTAGCTAGGTATATGTTGTACTATACTTTGTCTGGTGTTCTGTCGGGTAACCAAGCGCACTTGCTTGTGTCGTGTGCTATCTGTCGTCGAATCGTTCTCGAGAAGTTGCAGAACCATGGACAAGCGCTGAGACCAAAAATCGTCAGAAGAGACGAGCGAAGCTGGCCGATAACTTGTGGCGACAAGCCAGTGGAGCTGGATCCGTCCTCAAGAATGGGATGTGTTCACGGAACAGAGTCTAGAGCTACATTCTCCCCATGGTCCTTGAGGCAAACCTGGAGGGACCTGGCGAACGAGCGCACCCGACATCCGAGCCACGCGGAAGCAGCTCGTCTTTCGTGCACATTGTCTAGCGGCGGGGGTGCTGTTATGCCTGAGAGCTCACACCAAACGTCAATGCCTCTGCAAAGGCAATCTGTGTGAAGACCAGCGATCAAGCCCACCTGATGCGGTCAACTCAACGACGTCATCACGTGGAGGTGCCTGTCTGTCTTACGCAACGCACAGCGAGCTCCCTCAGCCTACGAGCCCGATGAAGCAATCGGCGCCTTCCAGTCTGGCGAGTCTTAAGCAATGCGAGGCAACGCCACTCGTTCTTGGGTGTAACCACGCGCAGCGGCTATGGATTTGATGATTATGACGCACCCCAGTGGCGGGTCCCCATTAGAGGATTCTGATATCACGGCCAGCAGCGCTTCTGGTTGGACGTTGGTGACGCAAAAGGTCCACCCAGTGCCAATAAAAAAAGTCAAGCGGCCCGTCACCAGTAGTTGATTTATGCGTCATAGAAAAGCCGACGTATGCGTGAGGGAAGACATATCGATCGGCTCTTCGAGTCCCTAAGCTGTCGGCCCCAGTGCCGAATATATAACGCCTCTGTTTATATGCTGTACATATACCTTGCATTAACTCACCGTCGTCTCGTCCGCTCGTCTATCAGCTCTGCGCAAAAGCAGTCGCAAACTGAGTAACACATACCAAACGGCTGGTGACCTTGGCGGTGGAGTTCGGAGTACTTCAAACGGCGGCTTTGGGACCGTGTTGGCACCACCCTTTCTTAACAGCGTGCACTCACTATTCTAATACTATTCAATGTGCACAGAAGCGTGTTACTCGTTACACATCAGTAAAGCATTTTGTGTGTTTCTTTGTTGCCGTTGTGGGTGAAGACGGTGTAATATCGCAGCTGAACGTTAAATTCTCGCAGCCCTTTAAAGAACTGCAAGCGTACGACCCACTAGCTGCATAGTTCGCATTGTGTGAACCTTGGTTGCTATCTTACTCTTGCAGTGCGCTATATAGTACACATGTTCAAATGATTACGTACCTGACATGATGCCTGTATAGGGTACTTTTGCGAAGGATTGCGAGACACCGGTGTGACTCTGTGGTACAATACTCGACTATCCCACAATCTCATCTGATCTTTGAAATATCTTTTCCTCTTTATATTTTTTCCTAATTCGCGCGATAGTGGTTGCGGACACAGGCAGCAGCAGTGATGGCAGGCAAGTAAGGTACTGAAATTTACTGCTCTTGTGACCTTGTGACAGCTTTCGCCGTAGAAGACACGTTAATCAATTAAATTCGTTATTTTCGCGTCAAACTACGCATCTAATGTACAATTCAAAAGGAAGCAGTGATGCTCCACACTACGTACGTCAAAGAATTTCCATTCAGAGACAAAAAACTCCCTATTTCCGGGATTTATCTCTGCAAACTATTTAGAAATACCCAGCTTATTTCCCTACACACCAGTACTAATTTTCACTCTCATATATGCACACACATACTATATTTAGACGTGTCTGACGTACTGGCGACTTTTGAAATCATGTCTAGCCGTTCCACTGCCTCACTAGAAAAGCATGACTTTAATGATTCATACACTGTTAGTACACTGCACATTGTAGGCTTCAAGTCTAACAACAATAGTGAACCAGAAATCTACCCACGTAAATGTAAGAAAATCTCAAGGCCTATGCTTGCATGGTCATGCGTCAGAGCCGATTACAGCAAGATGAATGCGCACTGTGACCGCTAATTATCGGTTGTCATAGGAGAATTTAACCATTCCTGAAATTTCGTGCATTATCAAAAAATTTTCCTTTCTCTTTAGCTGAAAATGATAGGCTAAAGTTCTCCGAATAAAGCAAATTACCTGCACGAAATATTACTGACATCAAGAGCACGTCATTTATCATACCCTCTTTTAAATATATTATTCATCGCGGTTATATGGTTAAGGTGCACTTGTTTTCAACTCCTGATATCAATATTTCTACTGCGTAGATAAGAAGCGACATGTTGTAGAAGAAATGCGCTGGAGATGTGTTAAGAGCAGGTGGTCCCACAGGCGAGCGTGCGTGGTCGTTGAGCCGACACGACAGCGCTGGCAGCGTCACACCGCGAGAGAGGATCAGGAGAGCGCACATTTTTGCATGTGGCTGGGGCAGAGCTTACAAAATGAAGCTAGAGTTGGCTGAAGCTGCAACATGGAAACGTTAATGGAAGGAAAAATCACAATTTCGAGCGAGGTGCTTGCCCCAGCAGTTCCAGCAACTGAGAGTACTCGTGACGGCGGTAGAAATTTCTCTGTGAGTTAGGGACTATACGCTGCCATAGAGTATGCCGCATATTATTAACACGAAAGCGTTCAAAAGCTCCTTTCGCTAAAACTACGGCGTTGCTGTTGTTGATTGCGAGGAAAAAGTCATCTTGTGCGTGACCGAGAAATTGAGAAAGATACAAATAAAACAAATATTCAAACATTCTGGGTCTGATTTGTGATCGAACCCGGAGCGATTGCGTAGCAAGCGGTTGTTCTACCACACAGTCGCGCGTCTCCATGGAAACATAGTGAAAACAACTACTTCTGCTAAGAAGTGCAGTGAAACTAACTTAAATTCTTTAGAAACACACTCATCCTGTATACATGTTTCCAAATTTGAGACTCCCATAAAAAATGTGACATCAAATCCCTAGCAGCCATTCAAAAAGAGCTGTGCCCATATATTGTATGCAAGATATGACACCAATTTTTCTCCAACAAATTGCCTTCCACAGCTTGGTCTATCTACACTTGCAAAACGATGCCATGTTAAATGCCTAAAATTTCGGCACATTTCAATTAATCCTTCTCGCTTCAGCACACTTGGATCATATATGAAAATTTTCAAATCTTCGTCTAGAAGAAGCGGTCATCCCCTAAACATCGCTACTTTTTTCACCCGCACTGACATGTTCAACTACAACTATTTCTCTTCGACTACAGAAGCTTTGAATTTACTGCCCCGAAGTGTTTGTTCTCTACCCCTAAAATAAAATATTGAAATAAATATTGGAGTAATATTGCATGGTACAAGAGTACATAGCCACCGGGCGTCACAACATGCGAATATCATATAGACTTCATGGATTGAAGCCGATCACCCACTAGAAAGGGCACACGCGTTACTGCGCCTATTCCCATAATAATTGGTACATTGGAAGTTCAAAAAGATCTCATGCACAAAGTGTTTGAAGTACACATCCGGGACATGATATCACTATCCCGTTAAACTTCTGAAGGAAAAGCTTAAGGATCCCCCAATTCGCTTCGTTGTTTCGTCGATTTATTTGCCATGACACCAATACGTGAAGCAGGTGGTCGAATGAAGTATCAACATTTGTGGTTATGGTAAGCGACATGCATCATTATGGCATGCCCTATTGGTTATATTTTATAAGCAGTCCTTTGGGTGGCACATTCGCACAGAAGGACGAATAAACTGTCATGAAGATGGCTAGTAGTTCTATATTAATGAGTTTACTGCGCTTGATTATTTATGAAAGTAATGAGGACCCCGTGTCACGCTTGAGTAAATGAGACAATACAGTCCTAAGCGAAAAACACAAGTGAGAACAACTTTTATTGCTTTGAGGGCATCAATGCAGTGGGCTTGGCCACGCGTAGGCCCGTCCCTGTCACAGTTGCAGACGTCTTGGAGTGACTGCATGGCACCTTCGTTAACACCAACCTTGATGATCCACCTAAGCTGCGCAAGAAAAAAGTGAAGGTTCATGAGGACCTTTTGCTCTATGAAATGCTCCTACATGTCCTCTAAGAATTATCTTCCCCCGAGATTCCAGGAACAGCTCAGAGAAAAAAAAACTGTGATGTCTATTCGTATGCAAGATATATAACAACCATTTTTCTCCAACAAATTGCCTTCCCCAGCTTGGTCTATCTACACTTGCGAAACTTAAATGACACTACAACCAGAAAGCACGTCGCACATATTCAGCGTCAACGTAGTTGTAATGCCGTCTCCCTTCTTAGCCTGCAAAAGAGCGCGGAAACGAAGATGTAGGAAGCGCCGTGTTGCATGCAGTCATGGAAGCATACATACAAACAAGCTCAATACCCACCCTGTTTCATTTTTTTTCTGTTGCGGCAGTCGCGTGTTGGTGGAGGTGATATGCTTGAGTTCCGTGTATAGTTGTCATGGTGTATTGATGATGATGATGATATATGGTGTTTTTTGGCGCAATAGCCATTTGATGGCCAAAGAGCGCCAGTTCATGGGACAAGGAATGTGGACAATGATTGTGATTAGTGGATGTATAAGGGCCATAAAATTCTTCGCGGTAAGGCGGGTAAAAACATACAAGTAATAAAATCCTGACCATACCGTGAAAGGTGTGTGTGGTGCGAATAGATGACGAAAGTTGGTGATAATAAAAACGATAATGGACATGCATGGCATTAGCACAAGTGCCTCACTCGTTCATACCCTTGCGTCCAAGGGCCGTGAGGCAAGAGCTTTTTTTGTGTAGCCACCGCAGCGAAAACCTCTCCGGAGAGTTCGTTCGTGCTACGGAATGTCCGGGTATATGATATGAAAACTATGAAGTTCTTTTGAAAATGCTAACAATGATTTATGACTAAAAAGCGGTTCCCTATTAACGAACATTGCAGGGTGTAAAGGTATATGTTGTCGGTAGGGTAATGGAAAATGCTGTTTTCTTAGAGTTTCTAAGTGTTTGCACTGAATTAAAATGTGAAGAACTGTTTGTGCTTCACCACATCTGTCACACAATGGTGGATCGCCACCGGACAAAAAATATGAGTGTGTCGTGTATGTGTGTCCTATCCTGAGTCTCGTTAATGTTACCTGTGTATGACGTGATTTTGATACTGGTGGCCAATGGCTAAGGTGTGGCTTGATAACGTGTAGTTTGTTTCATATGTGTCTATCCCACTTGCTCTGCCAGTAGTCCCTGAGCTTTCGTTTGAGAGACGGCTTAAGATCAAGGGCTAGGATTGATATAGGTGTAGTGGCGGTGCTTTCGTGGACGGATGCAGCAAGCTGATCTGCCATCACGTTGCCTTGAATCTCACGGTGCCCTGGCACCCAGCACACTACAACATGTTGGTTGAGTGTGTAGAGTGTGCATAAAATGGAGTGAAGTGAGACGAAGACAGGGTTTTTTTGTTTTTTAAGACTGTACAGAGCCGTTACCACACTGAGGGAGTCTGTATAAATTACTGCTTTTTGTATTTGTAATTGTTTGATGTGTTTAGCTGCCACAAGTATCGCGTAAGCTTCTGCTGTGAAGATACTTGTGCCTGGATGTAGAGGGCCAGCATCCGAAAAGGAAGGGCCAACAGCAGCGTAGGACACAGAGGAGTTGGACTTAGAGGCATCTGTAAAGAACTAAAGAGGTGTGCATTAGTGTTGAAGTTCCAGGAAGTATGTTCGAATATGGGCAATAGGCGCATGTTTAGTAACTTCTAGGAAAGACACATCGCAGTCTATAGTCTGCCACTGCCACGGTGGTGGGTATGCTAGAGGAGCCATTAAACTGTGTTCAAGTGACACTCCAGTGTCCTCAGCTAGACCCTTCAGGCAAATTGAGAAGGGCTGCCTCATCGAAGGCCTGTTTTGAAACAGAATGGAGCTCGACAAATCAATAATAGTCGAGTATGAGGGGTGCTTCTTGTCTGCTTTCACTTTAAGAAAATAAACAAAGGACATGTAAGTTCTCTGCAGATGAAGCAACCACTCATTTGACTCAACGTAAAGGCTTTCTATGGGGCTGGTGCGAAAAGCACCCGTAGAAAGGCGGATGCCCAAATGGTGCACGGGGTCCAGCATCTTCAAAGCACTTTGAGTCGCAGACTGATAAAACAACAGCCCCATAATCTAAGCGGGTGCAAATGAGGCTTCTATACAGGTTTATGAGACATTGCCTGTCACTACCCCACGTAGCCATTGGAACATGAACTTGGCAACGTTTAACGCTAGAACATTATCTAGTGAGGGAAGTCTAGCTGTACTATTCGAGGAGCTAGAGTGTGGTAAATGGGATATAATAGGGCTTAGTGAGGTTAGGAGGACAGATGAGGCCTATACAGTGCTACAGAATGGGCACGTCCTTTGCTATCGGGGCTTGGCAGACAGAAGAGAACTGGAAGTGGGGTTCCTAATTCACAGAAACATAGCTGGCAACATAGAGGAATATTATAGCATTAATGAAAGGGTGGTAGGTATTGTAACTAAACTGAATAAAAGATACAAGATGAAGGTAGCACAGGCTTACGCACCTACATCCAGCCATGATGACGCTTCAGTTGAAAGCTTCTATGAAGACGTGGAATCGGCAATGAGCAAGGTAAAAACACAGTATACTATAGTGATGGGCGACTTTAATGCAAAGATAGGGAAGAAGCAGGCTGGAGACCAGGCAGTAGGAGATTATGGCATCGGTACTAGAAACGCCAGAGGAGAGCTACTAGTGTAATTTGCAGAACGCAATAATTTACGAATTTTGAATACCTTCTACCGAAAACGAGAAAACCGCAAGTGGACATAGAGGAGCCCTAATGGCGAAAATAAGAACGAAATAAACTTTAGAATGAGTGCACGCCCAGGAATCATGCAGGATGTGGAAGTGGTTGGCAAGGTACGATGCAGTGACCATAGAATGGTACGGTCTCGAATTCGCCTAGACTTGAAGAAGGAACGACAGAAACTGATACGCAAAAAGCCAATGAATGAGCTAGCACTGAGAGGGAAAGTACAGGAATTCAGAGTGTCACTACAGAACAAATACTCGGCTCTTAGTGAGGAAACCAACCTTAGCGTAGAAACAATGAATGATAATCTGACGAGTATCATTACGGAGTGTGCAGTGGAAGTTGGAGGCAGGGTAGTTAGACTGGACACTGGCAAGCTTTCCCAAGATATGAAGAACCTAATTAAGAAGCGTCAAATCATGAAAGTGTCAAGTACAACAGAAAAAATAGAACTGGCAGAGCTTTCGAAGTTGATTAATAGACGTAAGGTATGCGATGTAAGAAGGTATAACATGGAGAGAATTGAACACGCTCTGAAAAACGGAGGAAGCGTCAAAGCAGTGAATAGGAAACTTGGGATAGGCAAAAGTCGAATGTATGCACTAAGGGACAAAGAAGGCAAAATAACTACCAATATGGATAGGATAGTTAAAATACCGGAGGAGTTTTACAGAGATCTGTACAGTAGCCGTGATAACCACGACCTTAATACTATAAGAACTAGCAGTAACCCAGATGACACCCCACCAGTAATGATAGAAGAAGTCAGAAAAGCGTTGGAGAGCATGCAAAGAGGCAAAGCTGCTGGTGAGGATCAGGTAACATCAGATCTGCTGAAAGATGGAGGACAGATTGTGTTAGAAAAACTAGCTACCCTGTTTACGAGGTGTCTCCAGACGGGAAGAGTACCAGAGTCTTGGAAGAACGCTAACATCATCTTAATACATAAGAAAGGAGATGACAAGGACTTGAAGAATTACAGGCCGATCAGCTTGCTCTCTGTATTATACAAGCTATTTACAAAGGTAATTGCTAACAGAGTAATGAAAACATTAGAATTCAATCAACCAAAGGAACAAGCAGGATTTTGAACAGGCTACTCAACAATTGACCACATCCATACTATCAATCAGGTAATAGAGAAATGCTCAGAGTATAACCAACCACTTTACATAGCCTTCATAGATTACGAGAAGGCGTTTGATTCAGTAAAAACATCAGCCGTCATGCAGAGATTGCGGAATCAGGGCGTAGATGAAGTATATATAAACATTTTGGAAGAAATCTACAAGGGATCAACTGCCACCATAGTGCTTCATAAAGAAAGCAACAGAATACCAATCAAGAAGGGTGTAAGGCAGGGGGACACAATCTCCCCAATGCTATTTACCGCGTGCTTACAGGAAGTTTTCAGAAGCCTAGAATGGGAACAGTTAGAGATAAGAGTTAATGAAGAATACCTTAGTAACCTGCGCTTTGCCGATGACATTGCATTGCTGAGTAACTCAGTAACAAATTGCAACTCATTATTACGGAGTTAGACAAGGAGAGCAGAAAGGTGGGTCTTAGAATCAATCTGCAGAAAACGAAAGTAATGTACAACAACCTCGGAAAGGAGCAGCGCTTCGAGATAGGTAATAGTGCACTTGAAGTTGTAAAAGACTATGTCTACTTAGGGCAGGTAATAACCGCAGAGCCGAACCACGAGATTGAAGTAACTAGAAGAATAAGAATGGGGTGGAGCACATTCCGCAAGCACTCTCAAATTATGAGATAGATTGCCACTATCCCTCAAGAGGAAGGTATATAACAGCTGTATCTTGCCAGTACTTAGCTATGGAGCAGAAACTTGGAGACTTACAAAGAGGGTTCAGCTTAAATTGAGGACGACGCAGCGAGCAATGGAAAGAAAAATGGTAGGTGTAACCTTAAGAGACAAGAAGAGAGCAGAGTGGATTAGAGGACAAACGCGGGTTAAGGATATCATAGTTGAAATAAAGAAGAGGAAATGGACATGGGCCGGGCATGTAGCGCGTAGACAGGATAACCGCTGGTCATTAAGGGTAAATAACTGGATTCCCAGAGAAGGGAAGTGGGTTAGGGGAAGACAGAAGGTTAGGTGAGCAGATGAGGTCAAGAAGTTTGCGGGTATAAATTGGCAGCAGCAAGCACAGGACCGGGTTAACTGGCGGAACA